TGAAGAGATCAAACTCCACCCAAATGTGTGATGAGACACATTTTGTTACAATTGCTCCCCATTGACTTGATTTTCAGTCATTCAGAAAGGATGTCCCGTACTCACAGTGAAAATGAATAGAAGTTTAAAAACCATCCTATTAATGATTAAGTTTATAACTTTAGAATAGCTGAGTGGAATGTATCTAGTTGAACATGATAACATCAAAGGGGACTATGGGTCTCATCTACTGATAGTTCGAGAAAGGGTGGCTAGGGAATCTCCAGTCAGAGCACAGAACAATTGGGAGTGGCGGCAACATGGGTAGGAGGGAACCAAGATGGCTCCCTCATGGGCAGAGCATCTGAGAATTGAGCCACACCTACCAATGTCTTTTCTTGAGAGTATTTCATCATTGGTCCCGGATGTCATCTCTTTAGTTGAAGCTTTTACAAGGAGACAGAACAGGGTTTGTGGATTTATTCTTCACCTACCAGGATGGTCTCCAAGAGCTAGGTGAGTGGTACATATCTGTAATCCTAGTACTTGAGAGGCTGAGGCCGGGAATGGCCAACCCATACTCCCATGTTGGGGAGTTGGTCACCATAGAATGGGATAATATTGCTAGCAATCCACGGAGCCTGCTTAATGATCAAAGGAATTTATTTGGGGGTTAACTCACAAGACAGAATAAAGGAATTTATTGCAAGATCCTGGAAGGGTGAGGCACGGTCCAACGTGGTTCTCTAGCAAGCTCTGCCATGGTCCATACCAGTATCCAAAACCACCACGAGGTAGTGAAGAGAGAGAGAGAGCACGTACATGCATCCCAGGTCTTAAGGGTCCCCCAGCAGCCATGCCCCAGGAGAATGGACCTCAAGGTCATAGGCAGGTGTAACAGCTACCTGCTACCTCACTAGGGGTGGTGCTTTAGGGCATGGCTCCAACAGCCACCCACTACAGGACTATGATAAGCCTGAGCTACATACTAAGACTATTTCAATGAGTGAGCAGATTAATAGATAATAAAAAGGACTGCCTCCAGGTGCTTTTGGTTATTTTCTTTGGAACTCCAAACTCAAGGTCAGTAAAAAGACATCCACAATAATCACGTCAAGAGATACCTGCCCTACATTTGCACATGCTGTATATACTCAAGGACATGTATTAAGGTCACTGTGAACATTGACATAAATGCTTCTTTGTACGGACCTGTGATATTACAAGGTCACAGGACCAGTTCTCCTTCACATCTTCATCAGCAAAGTCTGCACTGAGCTGGCATGCACCATATCTTAAGCACCACCCCCAAGCACGTTGTGTACAGATCGTGCTTAATTCCCACAAGGATACTGGGTAGGCACTGTGTCTACCCTAGGTTTACAGTCAGGTGAACTAAAATGCAAAGAGGTCAACCTGTCCCAGGGGAGCCAGAATTTAAGTCCCCAGCTTTGGTTCTTGGTGGTGCTTGCTCCACAGCTCCATGAGGCCCCTGCATGCCATCACTGTGGGGCTGCTGGGAGGAAAGCCCTCCTTTCCTGGAGCTGGTTTTCCACCGGGGGTATCTCTATCATTTTCAAGCTACATCAAAGACCCTGGAGACTCCAGGGAATATAAAGTAATCACTCTGCATTTGCTCAAAATAGGGTGGACACATACTCAACTTTTGTTGATGTTGTTGAATTAAAAACCTGGTCCCTTACTTCCCAGCACAGATGTCTGAGATCAGAGAAGTCTGTGTCCCACCTAGAATACATACAGGTCACAGGAGGAAGAGGGGGCTCCCCAGACCTGACAGCTTGTTTGGATCTGTCTTGAGGCGTCTCATTCTGCAGGCTTCTGAGTCTCTATCAAGGTAATGGGCACAAAGGAAGGAAGAGGGGAAGGCGGGGGTACGAGAGGCAAGTGCCGCCACCTGAACTAGGCGGGGAAGATTTGTGTGGTAATTGTGGCCCAGGGACACCATCAGCAATTCTTCCTACCCTTGGAGAATTTCCCTGATGTCCATGGCGTTCTCCAAGGACACACCCATACATCATGGCCTCTCATGTCTTCTTTGCACTGTCCTCGATGGGGAGAAGTGGGTTCCGTGCTCCCTTCAATCAACTCCAGGCTGGGGCTGACTGATCTGACTGATGGAGTACGGGTCTGCCATGAAGCCAGGTGTCTTGAAGTCGTTATCACCACAGGACGCCGAGTTGACTCACCTTCTGTCAGAACTCTTGTCTCTGCAACCCAGTTACCATGTGGGGAAGCCCAAGCCATGTGAGTATTCAAGCTCTTAACCCAGCTGAGGTCTTTGCAGACAGCCCAAGACCATGTCTGGCAGCCATATCAATGATTCCAGCCCTCAGCCTTGAGCATCTCAGATGAGGCCCTAGTCTTGTAGTGAGTTCCTTGACCACAGAAATAGCGAAAGGTGAACAAAGAAATCCTGTTGAGTCAAGCCATTGTTTTGGGACCATTTATGATGAAATAGCGGGTAAATTGTACAATGCCTATCTATGTAGATATAGCCACTCTTTCCAGAAGCCAGGCATTCACTTTCCCAGATTGCCTTGCAGACAGGCACAGACATGATCTGATTCCTACAGTGAAACTTCAGGGTGTAGAGAGAAGCCCAGAAGGGGTGATGGGGGTGGCGGTGAAGACCACCTGCTGCTGGAGGCTGCTGCATCCGGAGTCCTCTCAGGGCTTTGAAGCCTAGGAGTGACGGTTCTGTCATCCTTCCCAGACCAGCCTGGGTGACATCCTAGGCTTCATATTTTCCAGATAAAAATTTCTAACCCTGTTACAGATTTTTTTGGTGGGATATAATGTCTTACTATGCAGCTTCTGGCTGGCCTGGAACCCAGAGACCTGCCTGCTTCTCTGCCTCCAGAGTGCTGGGATTAAAGGTGTGTGTCACCACACCCAGCTCTATCATAAAATCTTAAGGTAGCTTCTGTATGTTCCTTGCTGATTGCAATGGCTGAGACGGTGACCAAGGACAGAGTTCACACTTGCTGTGTGCATTAGACGGCCCCTGCTCGGAATAGTGCTTGTTCCCAGTGCTCACTCACACATGCCTTGTGCTATCAATCACTCGTTCCTCCCTAATTCATGGGGCTGTCCCCTGCCTTTAGCTTCTCAAGGCCTTCACTTCTGTGACCATGTGTTTGTTGTTTTCCACTCAAGCCTAAGTCAGGAAGGTGAGTATTTATCACCTTGCCAGTTTGGACCAGTCAGCAGAAGTGGCAACAGCACTCTGTGAGGGAGGCTTTCAGGAGATCGTATTCTGGGGCTGGGAAAATCCAGACCCACACCAGGAGGACTTGGACTTAATTAACTATACAGAATCTAGAAGAAAATTTAGCTAACATAAGTAATATGGATTTTATAGCTCCCTAGCAGAATTCACACTTTGTAATAATCTGTCTCCTATTCAATAGAGCATGCTAGGCTGCTTTAACAAGAGTCAATCAAAAAAGTTTGTTTCTTTCCTATGTAATAGGAGAGGACAGTTAACACTTTTTTCACAGGGACTCCAGCCACTGCCTTTTCCAGAAAACACTGTAATTAAATAACCTGGCCATTTCTACAGCTGTGGTGGACCTCATTTCCATCTAGCTACAGAGTGGTCTAGGGCAGGAAAGCGTGACTACAGATAATTTCTCACTAGAAACAAGCAGGGACCAATGAACACAGGGTAGTAGTAAGAGTCTTTACTTTGTGACTGTTCTAAGTGGACTTTAATTATTTTTTTATTTTTTGAGATTACAATTACACCATCTCCCCACTTTCCTACCTCCAAACCCTTCCATATGCTTCTCTTGCTCTCTCAAATTCATGGCTTCTTTTTTTATTAATTGCTGTTACATACATATTATGTATATGCATGTATATTCTCAAATACATAAATATAACCTTCTCAGTCTATATAATGTTACTTGGACGAATGTTTTCAGGGTTGAACATTTTGGAATCGGATAACTAGTTGGTGTTCTTCCCTTTTTGCAGCTCAGTTCAGAAAGAAAAACTAAAGCATAGATTTCCAACTACACATACCCATTCCCTTTGTTGGCCTTTCCTCTCACCTACACTAGAGCAGTTGTCTCCACTGCCCTTGGTTGGGACACAGGTTCCTGCCAGGATTGATTGACACTGCACTGTGATTCCTTGAGGATGTAAGCTATCTCTTCCTGAGACACACACAGCATTGGTGCCCTGGTGGTTTGCTGGAGGCTGGTTTGACAATAGAGAACAGGTAAAGCCTTTGCCAGGGTATAGTCAGCACTGAGTATTGTATTTCTTTTACTGGGGCATCTATGCCTATTCACATCAGGTAGAAAGGGCACTGGAAGGCCAAAGAAACAATTCTATCAAGTCTGGCGTGATGAGCCAATATGTTTATTTGTTACTTATGGAAGCATGGATGAATTGAGCAGAGCATCACCAAAAGCCCCATTCCAGCTGGGGTGGTCATTTGTGAGCACCACATCACTGGAACCTCTGTGCAACTCAGAGGCAGCACCCACCAAAGAGAACCATCTCTCCTCAGCAGTGCTCACTACTGTAACTCTAGGGACAGCTTGGTGAATCTTGTGAGTCTTATGAACCACCCCCTCCCTCCAGGAGCATGTGTTTCAGTCTGGAGGAAACAGCTACATAGCCCTGGGTCTTCAGTTGGGAGGCTTTTCCTGCCAGGTTGGAAGGAATGACTGGTGTGTCAATGGAGGCAGAGAGTGAGGATGTAGGTTCTCAAAGTCCAAGCCATCCCAGGTGTCTTCCTTATTCCCAGGTCACAATCTAACTCTTAGACAACAGGTTTGCCAAGATGGCAACTTCAAGGTACTGTGTAAATTCTGAGACCTCAAGACTCAAGTCTTTGAGGCTGGTTTTCAACCAGGTGAGCTCTGTGGCTCTTTGAGCTGTGCTCATTTACTAGGGACACTCCAGGTTGTTCCCCTGTTTGTTCTCTCTCTCTCTCCTCTCTCTCTCTCTCTCTCTCTCTCTCTCTCTCTCTCTCTCTCTCTCTCTCTCTCTCTCTCTCTCTCTCATATAAACAATTACAAATTTTCTACCTGTTTTACAAGTTCTGCAGCCTCCACTTTCCCATGGCCAACATCACTCCTGCCCAGCAGTCAAGGGCAGCAGCTCCTTGCTCCCAGAACTTTCCTTTGCTTCAGACTTCACCTGGGGCCACCACAGTCAGTGCTCATTGTGGTACTTTTGAGGCAGCTGCTTTTTCCTAATGACTACCCTTTCCGAGTGGCACTAACACAATGAGCAGGGTCAGGTTCAAAGTCAATTAGATAGCTCTCTGTGTTTGGATACATTCCTTACACTGAGCCCTGAATTGGTTAAACTCTAATCAGGAACACAGGGTACCCTGTGTGTTCCAACAGAAGAGTTTAATCCAGATAATTGGTCATAAAATGCTGGGGTGTTAAAGGACCAAAGAAAGAAGGAGAATATTGAAGAAGTGGGTAGGGGGCTGTGATGCTGAGAATTCTGTGACACCCTTTCACAGGCCCATACCTAGGTCACGCCTCTGAAGTTGTCACCGAGCGCTGCATGGTTGATGGGTTCCTTTCATGATTACTTAATCATGGAAATTGTTAGGAGTATCATGGCCCCACTGTTCATCTGTGACCTCCAGATGTCCAATGGTCAGGTCCTAGCACAGGTGGGTCTGTAGGCTCCTGGAGGATCCAGTATCTATGTGGCTTCCTCAGCTGTTCGTTGTGGGCTGTGCCTAGCTTTTGAGCAGGGAAGAAGGGATCTGAGGAGATTTTTGTCATTATGGAATGCAGGTTCTCTCTGGCAGTTGAGTGATGATGAGCCATGCATTCCTTTCTGAGGAAGAAGCGGTTTAATCCTAAAGAGACTTCCAGAGGAAAAGTCTCATTCCTCCTGTCCTTTTCATCTTTGCTTCAGGCAAAGACAGTTGCTCTCTGGTGGTGTGGAAATGCAGGATGACAGCTGACATTGTGACAAGATGGTGTCTCTATCCATGTCACCTTCAATGCTAGGTCTAAATATAGGTTCTCACGTAGTACTCTGAGAAAAGAAAGTTGATTTGGCTTCCCAGTTGCTGAGGGTGGTGAGTGGAATCCCATAATTAGTTGAAACAAGGAATGTGTATCCTGGTTATATGACATATTCTCAGAGCATTAGAATGGAATGGGTTCTTTTGGCTGTTTATTTTGCTGTCATTACGTCTATTGCTACAATGTCAGCTTTGAAAAACTACAATCAAGAATAAACTCTAACTTTGCTAGCAGCTTGGTATTAGAATCTGATTTTAAAATAGAGCATTCATTTACTTGCACTGGAAGGCACAGAGCTTAACTGCATAACTCTGGGTTTTCAAAAATATGCACATATGTAATTTAGGAAATACCTCAATCAAGACATGGAGGATTCCCATCATTCTAGAAAGTTCTCCTATATCATTTTCTAGCCAAGACCATACTACCCTGTCACCATAGGCACCCGACTTTGGTTCCTATCACCATAACTTTGTTTTACATACTCTCCCTCTCTCTCTCTCTGTCTCTGTCTGTCTGTCCGCCTGTCTGTCTGTCTGTCTGTCTCTCTCTCTCTGTTTCTTCTACTCTTCTATCTCTCTGTGCAAGTGGTATGCGAATGGAATAATGCAGGATGGCTTCTCGCATACCTGGCATCTATCAGTCAATCTGTATCTCACGCTGAGACTGGGCCTTGTGTGGGGGATAGTTTGCTTTTCATGCCTGGAAATGTTCTTTGGATGCAGACACCAGAGACTGTTTACCTGTCTTGCTGTTGGAGGCCATTTGGCTTGCTTCTGGCTTGGGCTACTGTGCATATGGCTTCTGGAATGATCCTGTTCAAGTCTTCTAGGATGCATTTTTACTTTTCTTCATAGCTGGCAAAGCATGGCCTGGCTATGTCAAGAGGTAGGTATATATTTAACTTCATATGAAAATTGCAGACACTTCCAAGGTTATGAAGGAATGTTTTACATTCCTTCAACATAACTGCCAGAAAGCATGAAAGAAGCTCATCTGTGAGCTTGGATCTCAGAGGAATTTCTGGAAGACTATGGCAGAAATGAATGATACTGAGAGAAGAGAAGATATCCCAGAGTGTCCACAGCAGGAGTTTTCTGTTTGAATCAGAATGGCGCCCCTAGGCTTGTGTGTTTGAATACTTGGTCCTCCTTGGTGGAACTGTTTGGGGGAGGATTAGGAGGTGTGGCCTTGCTACAGGGGGTGTGTCACTGGGGATGGGCTTTTGACACTCTTGCCATTCCCAGCCTGCTCTCTGCCTTCAGCTCGGGGTTTGAGATGAGTGTTCTCAACTCTTCCTGCCAGCATGCTTTTGCTCCACTCCCATGGATGCTAATCGTCTGGACCTGTAACCCAACTAAATGCTTTCTTTGATAAGTCTCCTGGGTCATGGTGTTTTTATCAAGGCAATAGAAAAGTAACTAAGACAGATGATGATGTGATTGGACTAAAAAAACAAAAGAGGGTAAGAGGCGTCTAGGAGAAAACATGGGTGCAGCTGCACGCCCCAGGATGAACTGAAAATTGGTCATCCACAGGAAAAATACCACTTTACCCCTTCTCAATCAGAATCATCCCCCAGAGATAGTGAGTGAGGCCTCCGAAACATTCAACGTCTCAGAGGTCAAAACAGCACCAAATGTTTGGGAAAGAGGAACCACAGCCCAAGGCCTGAAGAACAGAGCTAAATGGGAAAGTGAGAGGAAGAAGAAGGGAGACAGAGACAGGGAGAGTGGAGAAAAGGGGAGCGTGAAGAAAAGGGGAGAGTGGAGGGAGAGAGAGTTTTAATCCATGCGAGGAATATCTTTGCACCTTTGGCTGAGGAGCTTTGGCAGCTGAAGGTTCCTGGCAGAGGCAGTCAGTTTTCTCCCGGGCTGTGACCCCTGGTAGGTTGCCCTTGCTTCTGTGGATGATCTTACACCTGTAGCAGGAATCTTAAAAGGTCTTATCAACAAAAACAAACCCAGAGCCAGGTATTGGGGTGAATGCTGGAAGATAAGAGAAGCAGAACAAGCTACAGCCACCTCACCTCGCCAGTTCCTCAGCTTATCTGTTTCCTCAGACTGGAAGCCTCTGAGTCCTCATCCAAATGGATCTCAGCTGAACTGCTCAAAAGCCTAAAAGGTTAACCAGCTCTAGTTCCTGGTCCTCATGCCTTATATACCTTTCTGCCACCACTTCCTGGGATTAGATGTGTGAGACACCATGCCTGGCTGTTTCCAGTGTGGCTTTGAACTCACAGAGATCTGGATGGATCTCTGCCACCAGAATGCTAGGATTAAAGGCGTGTGTGCCACCATTTTCTGGCCTCTGTATCTAGCGGCTGTTCTGTTCTCTGACCCCAGATAAGTTTATTAGGGTGACAATATATTGGGGGACACAGTATATCACCACGCACACCCATGCACACAGTGACAGCAGTGATTGGGCTCAGTGGGTCATGAAAAGAAAACCTGGGATCTGGAGGGGGTATGGCAGGAGGAGCTTGAGGGGAATTGGAGAGTGTCTGTGCCTAAAATACATTGTATACAGTATGAAACTTTCAAAGAAGGAATGGAAAAGAGAGATGTAAGAGAAGATTTCATCTGTTATCTTTAGATGAGCTGCTTTTATGAATTGTTGAGTCTTTTTTGGATGGAATGAACTAATTCAAGAGCAAATATTGAAATGTCTATGTCCTGGTCACACCCCAGCCTGTGGCACTCTCTCCAGATACATGTTCCTGCAGCCTTTCCCCTGCAGCTCCAGACCACCAGACAGGCAGGTCAGCAGCCGTCACCAATGCCTCACCTGACTGACCTTTGGGGTTATAAATGGACAGCATTGTGTATGCAACCTTTCTCACGGCTCTCAGTGTGTCTCTCAGCGGAGGCGCTCAACTCCTGAGAGTCCCTCACTGCTAAGCGGTGGGGGGAGCGCATAACCCTGTAGTCAGATGGCAATGTGTGGTAGAGAAATCACCACTGAAAATTCCCTGCGAGGAATAGACAAGAACTGCCGTTTGACAGCAGAGACCTCAACGATGCCCTGGCTTCCTTCAGGGCTTGTGTTTCCCCAGAATTCCTAACAGAAGACAGAGAGAAGGATTTCAGGCACCTGAGGGGTAAGAGCCTCTTGGATGAACACGCTGGCTGAGAGGACAGCCTAGGATAGGATCCTTTCAAATGTACACCAAGCGTGGGGAGAAAGATGAGCTCAATTCTACCTCGATTTAGAGTAGATGTTCACGAGGAATAAAAGACAGGACAATCTTAGTTTGCCAAACACAGCAATGACTTCAGCGCAAACACCACAAGAGAGGGGCTTCACAGAGCACGGCTGTCTCATCCCATTGTGATTCAGAGTTTAATCGTTACCACAACACAGGAACAACGAAATGGAAGCGTGCGGAGTGCAGGAGGCCTCAGGAAATGATCTCTTGGGTTTCCCGAGTTGAAGCTACCTCTGTCCTCCGTGCCCATGTTTGAGCTTCATTTTCGACATTTATTTTGGAAAATTCAAATTTTCACTGTAAACCTTTCAGCAAGAAATATGTTTTGTACACCCGAGAAACCGAGGTAGGCTGTGAGATACACAGCATCATGGGGATACAAGTCTGCAGCACTTCATTAGAAGTGCAGGGACTCTGAAAACGGCTGCAGGGTCTGGATCTGCCTTCAGTGCACATGCACGTGGTGAGGCAGCAGCATCCTCTCCACTTGGCTTTACACGTGTACCCACCCCGTCGTCACTAGCTCCAGACACAAAGCCAGGGGCTTGCTTCTTGTCTCTGGGCACCCAGGCAGAGACGATGCAGTTTTGATCCTGAACCTCACATTCCAGCAGAACTTCATGGTCCTTTGCTGCCACGTGGAACTTGCTCCCTTGAGCCACACTGCAGGCAGGTCTTTTCAGTATGTTTTGTAGTAGCAGAAAATGACGTCAGCAGCCTGAACCCTGTCTGTCAGGGAGATACCGATGTGTTCTCGCTTGTCTTATCTCGAAGCTTGTCGGTCTGTCTGGATTTGGGGTAACCTAGGAGACCATATCTGTGCAAGCAAGTATGTCTAGAAAACTTTAGCTGAGGGGAGGAAGGCCCACCCTAAATGTCGATGGGTGCTTCTCGGGGACTTGGGTCCCAGACCAAACATGAAGAAGAAATGCATCTAAACAGCAGCGTTTGTCTCATGCTTCCTGACCGCAGATGCGGTGTGAACAGATAGCTCATTCCTTTTGCCAGTCTTTTTCTGTCATGATGGAAAACTGCCAACCACGAGCTGAAATAACCCTTCCTTCCTTCAGTTGCCTTTTTTTTTTTTTTTAAGTATTTGGTCACAGTGATAAGAGAATCAATCAACACGTTGATTTCGCTCCTGTTTGGTAGTGTTTCATCCACAGTGTGGTGATCATAGTCTGCATAGTTTTCATTACTAAGTAAACGCTTCCTCACACACTCACAAAATACTGGTTTTGATGAAATATTTTATAGACAGGGGCCCTACTGGAATGAATCTGGCTAGAGGTCTAGATGGGTGGGCACTGAGATACAGCAGACTCACCTAGCTTGGCATCTCTTTGGGGAATATAACTGTCAGTTCCAAAGACAAAATGGGATTGTCTTCCCTCTGTCAAGGACAGGGAGGGCAATGCCATAGGGGATGGGGCTGCAAATGCCACCAAAGGTAGAAAAGCAAAAACACCCTGTCAGAACCTCGAAACTCAATGCTCCCCAGCAGATCAGAGTTCTTCCTCACACCCCCACTCCAAGGTCCTTCTCTTCCAGTCAGTGATCTCATGGTTGCTACAGACACCGTTTGAGGATGGGACTTAAAAACAGGTGTTGTAAGTCAGCCGGTTGTGTGGTCACGGTTTTTGGTAAGCTTGTCTTGGAGAGATGGTCTCAGTGTGCCCTTCGAAGTGTGTACAGATCTGGAGCTTGGGTGCAGTGTTTCTGAGCTCTTTCTCTCATATGCTTTACACGGTATAATGGAAGAACCAGGCAGCATCCTTATATTCCTGGAGCTCCCTGGAGACTCTCTAGTGTTGGATACACACTGAAAGCCTGAAGAAGCCGGAGTGTGGTCCCCACGGAAGAGGGCAGCAACAGTGGTAGGTACACCTGCTCAGGAGGTAATGCTTCCTTTCCCCTGGGCTCTTCATATCTAGGCCTCCCTCCCGTAGAAAGGTGCTATTTAGTTTGAGGCTAGCATTTTTCTCTGAAAATGCACCCACTGACACATCCAGAGGTGTGTTTCCTAGGTAACTCTAAAAGTCGTCAGGTTGACAAAACCATCACATCAGCAAAGAATGAGAGCTAAGACACTTGGTCTGAATCTAAGTTTCAAGGAAACTGAATCATTCTGGTGAGACCCTAAGAACAATCACACAAAACTGTCCCCAATGTGCACAGAACTCCGCTTTACTGTGGGGTAGGGACTAGCTAGCGCTTTGGCAGGTAACTTTATTTTGCTTTCTGCCTTCGTAAGTAGCTGGTGGCAAACGCTTCCATTTCCCCCAGTCTTACCACCACGTTGAAATCTCATTTTTATCTTTTGGAGAAAACAGTGTTTTATTTTTTAGTGCCTTTAAAATTTTGGCCTAGGCCAGCAATATTTTCCTAAGAAGATAATCTATTCAGAGTTAGCTTTTGCAGAATAACAAAGCAGGCAATTTAAAAGGATAGATATTCCTCCCTTCAAAGAGATCACAAACAGATAAGATGTGAGTTACACACATACACAGATATTTTTAAAGGCAATTACCATCTGCCTGATAGAAAAGAATAACTCTGTTAGACTGGAAGTTTATTGTGTATCTTTATAATTAGATTGCCTCTACACAGAGTATATCCTTATTGGAATTCATGAAAAATGTCTGCTAATATTTCCCTTTTATTTTCAAATTTATTATATAAACAGCGTTTTGGTTCTGACTAGAAGATTTTAGAATGTGGAAGTTTTTTTGTAACTTAGATAATTTAAGAAGACATTTGTGTTTTCTAAGGGGTTTTGAGAAAGGGACTTTGTTGTGGTATTGTGTTTCCCAAAATATTGTGCACCCTAATAAACTTACCTGGGGTCAGAGAACAGGACAGCCACTAGATACAGAGGCTAGAAAATGGTGGCACTCACACCTTTAATCCTAGCATTCCAGAGACAGAGATCTACCTGGATCTCTGTGTGTTCAAGGATACAGCCAAGCATGGTGACTCACGCCTTTAATCCCAGGGGGTGATGGCAGAAAGGAGAAAGATGTATAAGGCGTGAAGACCAGAAATTAGAAGCATTTGGCTGGTTAAGCTTTCAGGCTTTCAAGAAGCAGTTCAGCTGAGAGCCATTCAGATATTGAGGACACAGAGGCTTCCAATCTCAGGAAACAAGACCAGCTGAGGAACTGGCGAGGTGAGGAAGCTGTGGCTTGTTCTGTTTCTCTGATCATTCAGTGTTCACCCCAATAACTGCCACCGGGTTTGTTTTTATTAATAAGACTATTTAAGATTCCTGCTACAGGACTTGTTCAAGATGTGTGTGTATGTGTGTGTGTGTGTGTGTGTGTGTGTGTGTGTGTGTATGTGTGTGTGTGTGTGTGTGTGTGTGTGTGTGTGTGTGTGTGTACATGAGCATGTGCTATGGTATGAATGTGGAAATCAGAGAACAACTTGCAGGAGTTGGTTCTATCCTTCCACTCCGTGTGTCCTGGGGTTTTGCATTTAGGTCATCAGGCTTGGTGGCAAGGACCTTTACCCACCGAGCCCTCTCGCTGGCCCAGTGTGATGGCTCTTCTTAGTTGTCCACTTGACTGTATCTGGAAGCCTCTGGGCACACATGTGAGGAATATTTTTCTTACTTAAGTCATCTGTAGTGGGAAGGCTCACTTCTAATCTAGATCTTTGAGGTGGGAAGACAAACCTTTAATTCAGACCTTTGAGGTGGGAAGATCCACCTTTAACCTGGGCCCCACTTTCTGCTGTCAGTCTACATAACAGACACGGAAGAAGGAAGCCATCTCTCTTTGACCTCTTTCTCTCTCTCTCACTGGCAAGTCCATTCCTTTAGTCTGATTACAGCCTACTTCTTTGAGACTCCATCATTTATCAAAGACTAGCTGAGACCTCCAGCCTTGTGGACTGAACATCTACTGGATTCTTGGACCTTCCGTTGGTAGACAGCCATTGTTGGACTAGATGGACCACAGCCTGTAAGCCATTCTAACAAATTCCTTCTCTCTCTCTCTCTCCCTAGATATGTATTATAAACTTTATTCTTCTAGAGAACCCTGCCTAATACACCCTGATGGGTCCTTTTGGTCAATCTGCTTTACTCACAACCAGTGGGCAAGTTGAATTCCCTGTTTATTCCTAGCACCAGGCTCATAACTTTCAGGCTGAGAAGCAGATGGAATCAAGCCCTCATTCCTGTCCTCTCGTCCCGGTCTCCCCCTTCTTGTGAACTTCCTCCATGTGCTCAGTTCTTCCTGTTTCCCACCCCACTCGCCTCTCTCAGGGAATATTGGGGAAGAAGGGGTGGGGAGATTGTAAGACTCAGAAGTTGGGGAACACTGCTGTAAAACTGCCTTCTGGGCATGACAGGACCACTGCACTCAGGAAAACACAGTGGCTGAGGTTGTACACACAAGATCTGCACAGGACCAAGCCAGTATAGATCCCAGCACAGAGGGGGAGGGGCGCACAAGGCCCCACCTACAGCTGAGAAGGTCTTGGTAATTGATGGCTGCTGATAGATCAGCCATCTTCATTGGTGTGGCCCCTCTGTTTGCCTATGTCCTGGTGGATGGCCGCATGCTGATGCACACATGGCCAACACCAATTTGGTTATTAAGAAAAAGAAAAGAATGGCATATGCAGTTGGGAGGAGCACGTGCTGGGGATCCAGGAGCAGTTGAAGGGTGTGGTGAATATGATCAAGACACATTGTGTTCGTGTATAAAATTCTCAACAAAAAAGGATAGTCAAAAATTGACCCCTCCATCGTGCCTGCAATGGCCTCATCTGACTTCCCTGTCTTTAATGGCTTCTTAGAGTGATTGCTGTGGGATGGTCTGTATGTCAAATGTGTTGCTGATTGGTCAATGAATAAATCACTGATTGGCCCGTGGCCAGGCAGGAAGTGTAGGCGGGACAAGGAGAAGAATAGAGCTGGGAAGTGGAAGGCTGAGTGAGCAGACACTGGCAGCCGCCATCAGGACAAGGAAGATGTAAAGTACCGGTAAGCCACAAGCCACGTGGCAAGGTATAGATTAATAAAAATGGATTAATTTAAGCTGTAAGAACAGTTAGCAAGAAGCCTGTCACAGCCATACAGTTTGTAACCAATATAAGTCTCTGTGTTTACTTGGTCGGGTTTGAGCGGCTTGGGACTGGCGGGTGAGAGAGATTTGTCCTGACTGTGGGCCAGGCAGGAAAACTCTAGCAACAGTGATTATTTGGATAATTCAACAGTTACAAGAAAAATGGGATCCAGCTCAATTTAACAAAATTCACACAAAAATTTTTAGAACCAGGCATCCTTTCAGATCAAAGAAGGGACCACACACAAGAGCAGTTCTATTGATAGCCGGAGGAAAGGAAATGATGTATAGAAACAATGTGATTGGCTGCAATGGGCACTTTCCTGAGGTAAACACGGTCTGATCAGTAGCTGGCTGGTGGGTGGTTAAGATCTGTGATTGGCTGTGATCAGTAGCTTAGTTACAGGAAGGTATGTTTAAGCTGCATCTTGTTTATACTTGAGGCTGGGTTACAGTGAGCTATGTATAGAAGCTGCTTTTGGCAAAACACATCACAGAACGTGGCAACTTGCTTTAACTCAACACAACTATGTTTGAGCCTATGAATTTGGGTGAGGGAAAGGCTGTGACAACTCTTCCCTGTCCCAATTTCCACAGTGTGGAATGAACTGTGTCTCCCTTAAAATAATTTTTTAAAGTGGTTTTTTTTTTTGTTTTTTTACTTTTATTATATGAATGTTTTACCTGAATGTATGAATGTGTACTCTGTGTGTGTAGTGCCCAAGGAGATCAGAAGAGAGCTTTGGATCACTTGAAATATGATAGGTTGTAAGTTTCCAGGTAGGTGCTGGGAACTGAGCCCAAGCCCTCTTCAAGACCAGAGAGTGGTTTTAACCACTGAACAGTCTCTTCAGCATCCCCAAAATTTCTAGTCCCTCCTCTTCGGCATCATTGGACATCAGAGTCCCCGTCAGCACCACACTGTAGGTTAGACCATATTTGGAGACAAGGTCTTTAAAGAGGTCCTTAGGTTAAAGTAGTTGGGTGGGCCCTGATCCAATATGGCCGGTGCTCATCTAAGATGTGGGGATTTAAAAAGCCCGCTGAGTCCAATTTGTGCTCTCCTGAAGTTACATGGGCAGGAGAGCAAATCTGGGGGCATTTGAGGAGGGGGACTGAATGTGGTCTGTGGGAGTGCTCCCCTGAGTTACATGGGCAGGAGAGCAGATCTGGGGGCATTTGAGGAGGGGGAATGAATGTGGTCAAATTACATTTTATGACAATTTTAAAGAATTAACTAAAAAACAACTTTGTATATTGGAAAACACAAAGAAGTGGAATGTGGGTGCAGATCTGAGCAGAGAGACACAGGGAGAGAGGGCTTAGGCCAGCCTTCCTACACCTCATCTTGGACTCCTAGTCTCTATAACTGGGTGACAGTAGGTTCTGCTCTTTAAGTCACCCAGCTGTGACATTTGGCAAAGCAGCCCAAACAAAGGAACATTCCTCTCACCAAGGAATCTGTGAACCCAAATGGCACTTGCTCCTTATCTTTCTTATGTGCTCCCTGCTCACTCTGGGTGGCCGTGGCTTCCATTTCCAGCCTTCTGTAGCTCTGGAAAGTGGATGTGTGAGATCCTGGAAAGTGGATGTGTGAAATCCTGGCAGAATCTGTTCTGGGAACAACTGTGCACCCGTGTGTCACTTCTAAGTCTGAAGGCAACACCTGTGTGCAGTGGCACACTGATTAGACTTCTAGACTACCCAGGGACTTTGTAACTCTGAATATTTGGAACTAATTCCTAGCCATTCTATGTGCTCTTGTACAATCCATCACATAGTCAAACCATGGACAGATGGACAGACGGACTGAGTAATCTCTTTCGCTGCTGGGTTGGAAGGCTGCATTGCTGTTTTACCTTGTACTGATGATCATGTCCTTTGGGTGCATCCTGGACACTTGAGTAGGATGGTGTGTGTGTGTGTGTGTGTGTGTGTGTGTGTGTGTGTGTGTGTGTGTATGTATGTGTGTGTGTGCTACAGATCTAAATAGAAAATTCTCAACAGAAGAATCTCAAATGGCTAAAAGACATTTAAGGAATTGCTCAACATCCTTAGTCTTCAGAGAAATACAAATCAAAAATGACTCTGTGATACCATCTTACACCTATCAGAATGACTAAGATAAAAAACACTGATGGCAGCTTATGTTGGAGAGGATGTGGAGCGAGTGGAACACTCCTCCACTGTTGGTGGGAGTGCAAACTTGTATAGCCACTTTGGAAATCAGTATGGTGACTTCTTAGAAAATTGGGAATCAATCTACCTCAAGACCCAATGATACCACTCTTGGGCATATACCCAAGGGATGCTCAATCATACCACAAGGACACTTGTTCACCTATGTTTATAGTAGCATTATTTGTAATAGCCAGAACCTGGAAACAACCTAGATGGATTAAGAAAATGTACATACACACAATGGAGTATTACTTAGTGGTAAAAACAAACAAACAAACAAACAAACAATGACATCATGAAATTTGCAGGCAAATGGATGAAACTAGAAAATATCATCGTGAGAGAGGTAACCTAGACTCAGAAAGACAAACATGGTATGTATGTACTCACTCATAAGTGGATATTAGATGTAAAGTAAAAGATCGCCAGACTACAACCCACAGCTCCAGAGAAGCTAGGAAACAAGGAGGACCCTAAGAGGGACACATGGATCTCCTTGGGAAGGGGAAACAGAGGTGATATCCATGAGTAAACTGGGCACTAAGGGGGATAAAAAAGAGAGGAAGGCGTGGGGGATGAGAACATGAGGGAATTGGGTGGTTGAGCTGGGGGAGGGACAGAGTAGGAGAGCAATAAAAGAGATATCTTGATAGAGGGAGACATTATGGGGATAGGGAGAAACATGGTGCTAGAGAAGTTCCCAGGAATCCACCAGTGTGACCTCCAGATTAGACTACTAGCAATAATGGAGAGGATGCCTGAACTGGCCTACTCCGGTAATCAGATTGGTAAATACCCTAACTGTCATCATAGAGCCTTCATCCAGTAACTGATGGAAGCAAATGCAGAGATCCACAGCCAAGGACCAAACTGAGCTCTGGAAATCCAGTCAAAGAGAGGGAAGAGGGATTCTATGAGCAAGGGGCATCAAGATCATGATGGGGAAACCTGCAGAGACAACTAAACCAAGCTCATAGGAACTCACGAACTTTAGACCAACAGCTGCGGAACCTGAATGGGATTGGACTGGGCCCTCTGCATATGGGAGACAGTTGTGTAGCTTGGTCTGTTTGAGGGGCCTCTGACAGTGAGATCAGAATCTATCCCTGGTGCATTGGCTTGCTTTTTGGAGCCCATTACCTGTGGTGGGATGCCTTGGTCAGTCTTGATGCAGGGGGGAGGGGCATGGTTCTGCCTCAACTGAATTTAATAGGCTTTGCTGACTCCCCATGGGAGACCTTACCCTTTTGAAGGACGGGACGGCAGGGGGAGGTTGGGGGAGAGTTGGAGGGATGAGAGGGGGACTTGTAGCTGGTATGTAAAATGAATAAAAAAAATTTCTTAAAATAAAAGAGCCCACCTCTGTATGCTGAGCCTACCTGAAAGACTGCTTTCTTAGGCCCTATGTGGATATTCAAGCCTCCATGTTGGACACCATATGTAGCAAGTCTTTTTCTGTTCTGCCAGCCAGCTCCCAAGTAATGACATGGAGACTTCTTGTTAATAATGAAAGCTCAGCCTAAAGCTTAGGCTTGTTCCTAACTAGTTCTTATAACTTAAATCAATCCATTTATATTAATCTATATTCTATTATGTGGCATTACATCTCTTCCATCTTGCACTTCCTGTTTCCTCTCTGTGACTCTTGGTAACTCCTCTGTGACTAGATTCTCCTACTCTTCCTTTCTCTCCCTGGAAATCCCACTTATACCTCCTGTCTAGCTATTGGCCATTCAGCTTTTTATTACACCAATCACAGCAAATACATCTTCATACAGTGTACAAATATCCCACAACATTTCTTAAAAAAAAAACAAAACATTTTTGTCTAAATAACAACTTTGAAGAGGAACCTTGGGTGAATGTCCAGGCAGTCAACTGTCTCTGTCATTTCTTCAATTTTACAAGTTCTTTGCTCTGCACTTCCTGTTTACTCAGGTAATATTATATCCTTCTCAGGTCTCTGATGGAGTTGAAGATAAGATAGTTATAGTTACAATTTTGCTTATTACCAAATTCAGAAAAAAATACATAAGAGATATAAAGTATATAAGGTTGAGAGACATAAAAACTTAAAATTTTTATCTAAGAAAATGTTTTGAGGTCTAAAAATGATATTGGTAATACAAGTTAGGATAGAAAGTGAGTAAGGCACAAAACTTTGAACTCACTAAGATAGGATAGATAATATAGTACTTTCTCCAAACTTGCCAAATACAAATGGACTGTTCATTGTGAATGCAATTATTACCTGATAATTGTTCTTATTATATATAGTTTTACTATGTTAGAGTTGAAACCCTTCCTTTTTATTTAGACAAAAAAGAGAAAGTGTTGTGGGCTATTTGTACACTGTGTGAAGATGTATTTGCTGTGACTGGTGTAATAAAAAGCTGAATGGCCAACAGCCAGGCAGGAGGTATAGATGGGATTTTCGGGGAGAGAAAGGAAGAGGAGGAGAATCTAGGCACACAGGAGACACCAGAAGACATGGAGAGGAAAGAGAAGGTGCAAGATGGAAGAGACGTAATGCCACATGATAGAACACAGATAAATATAAATGGGTTGATTTAAGTTATAAGAGCTAGTTAGGAGCAAGTCTAAGCTTTAGGCTGAGCTTTCATAATTAATAAGAAGTCTCCATGTCATTATTTGGGAGCTGGCTGGTGGGACAGAAAAAGACTCATTATATCCTCCTCTGTGCTCTTCAGTGCCCAGCCAAGACTTGGCACCAGGGGACCTCATAAAGTACCTATGGGATGGTAATGATGGAATCTCTGATCCAAACATAGAGAAGAAGAGTGTGGGGAACCCTTGACCCCTTTTCTTAACCTGCACTCCCCCGCCCCTACTTCCAGAAGAGCCTCTGGGAATAACATTTAGAAAATTAAAGGACTATCTATTCCATGCCCTCAGACTCCAGGTCTATGGAAGGATGAAAGACCAGGTCTCAGTCTCTCTGAGAACTGAAGGATCTTAGGCCAAAATCAAAGAGAGAATCATCAGTAAGTTGAGACTGGCAGTCCATGGAGACTGGAGAACCAGCTTTGGGATCCTGCATGGGCTTGCTCCTCCATTTCCCACCTGGAAGAGCTCCCAGTGTCCATCCATCTGTGGCACCAAGGCTGACGTCGGGGTGGCAATCGCAGTGAAGCATGTTGATCATAGCTGCACCGTGGTCTGTACATCGTCCAAAGCCTCAGCCCATCTGTCTGGCTCCCTTGCCTGGCTCCCACACCTCTTGCAGCCTCCAGTCTGGGCTCCTCTCCAAGGCAATGCTTAGGCAATGATGAGCTAGCTTGAGCTTGTAACCCAAGTGGGCTATTTTTAAAAGTTCCTCACAAAAGCTGTGCTGTGACCTAGAACAAGGCAGTGTGTGAGGAGGAAATGCAATCCGGCCTGTGACGCTTTTCCAGCATCATAGCCCGAGGTCAAGGAGACATAGGATGTGTAAAGTCCAGGATATGCTGGATTTTATAAAATTGTAAACATTTATAAATGCTTGGATTTGGGAATAGTATGAAGCTAGGAATGCATAAATGGAGAGTGTTTTGAAAACAAGCCTTAAGACATGTACTTACTTTAAGGAGGTTTTGTCAAATGTGGAGTCCTGCTTGCTTACTGCGAAGTTGATTGTCCAGTGTCCCATCACCCCCTAAGCTAAGCTCATCTGAGATCAGCTTATTACCCATCCTGAAACTTCACAAAAGGGAACATCTGAATATAAAGATTATCAAACCAGAGAAAATCCATGATCCACCACTCCTAATATTGTGTTTGACCAGAGCATGAGGGTTTCAGAGCAAGTGGGCAGGTGACTATTGACTGACTGTTGGACATGAGACACAATTAGGCCTAGTTTCAGAGTGATTCCAAAAGGACATTATGATTGCCCTTTCTGATGACAATGTCACAGATGGAGCCAGACAGCTCTTTGTCCCAGGAGAATGACATCGACAGCATGGCTCATGAATTCAGGCAGCACATTGTGGTGATGCTGTTTGTTCTCAGCTCTGGTTAACTTCCATGAGCAGTGGAATCCATGATGGTGCAGCTGCCCTTTCTTTTGCCTGGGACTTGAATCTTTCATAGTCTGGCGAAGCATTGCCACTGAAGTAGAGATGTCGGTGAGCAGTCCAATGGGCTTATTTTCTAAACAGAACTCTAAGAGTTAATTTTGGAACAAAGTTATTTAATTTCTGTGAAATCTAAGTTTCTTAGCAAGGAAGTAATAATGGTACCCACTCACAGTGATTGCTAAATTCATTGTAATAGCCTTTCCAATCCAGATGGCCATCTCAGCTACTTTGTAAGCATTTGTAGTCCCTCACTGAGAGATCTGGAAGATACCCATGATGCTCAGCTTCAGCCTTACCTTCATTTTAGAAGTCTAACCTTTCAACAGTTCACCCCTGACCTCTTCCACTTCAGCACTATCAGTGAGTGATTTGAGCAGAAGAATTCTTGGTGTTTGAGGCTGTTGTGTGCATTATAGAGCATGCGGCCCATGCCAGGCCTCTGCCCACTGTGTTCTGGTAGCTCCCCAGCCACAGTTGTTGCAAACAGCAGCAGACATCACTCAGCCTCTCCTGGGGTCTGGCTCACATCTGGTTGTATCTATCTCCCTTTGACCTCCAGAGACTAGTTTTCTATTTGATACAATTCGGATACATTGTATACAGTATTCGGATGATTGTATCTGTTTGACACAATTTAGTCCTGTACTGAAGCCAAGGCACTTAGGAGAGGTGGCATGTTTAGCCCGTGGTGTTGTGGAATATTATTTTAATTATGTAAAGATGTGTTACATTTGTTTATGCTGAATTTGTTTAATTATGTAAAGATGTGTTGCTGATTCACCTTGCCTGCCTAAGGCACCTGACTGGTCTAATAAAAAAGCTGAATTAATCAATAGCCAGGTAGTAGAGGGATAGGTGGGCCTGGCAGGCAGAGAGAATCAACAGGAAGAGGAATCTAGGCTTGATAGAGGAGAGACCAAGGAAGAAAGAGAGAAGGATGCCTGCGGCCAGGCAGTCCGGCAGCCTCCAGCCAGCCAGACATGGAGTAGGACACACAGAATGAAAGGAAGGTAAAAAGCCCGGAGGCAAAACATAGATGAAGAGAACAGGCTAAAATAAGATATAAGAGCTAGTGGGACAAGCCTAAAATAAAGCTGAGCATTCACAACTAACAATGTCTCTGTGTCACGATATGGGGACTGACTGGTGGCGGAAAAGCAAGCCGGCTACAGGGTGGAGCCAGGTTGGAGGAAGTTAGGTCACTGGGGGCATTCCCTTGGTGAATGAATGTCTGGACCTTATTATCTTTCTTTCTCTTTGCTTCTCAGCTGCTGTGAGGAGAGCAGCGTGTGCCTTGTCTTTCTGTGGTCCCTGAAACAGTGGAGCCAACCAACTATGAACCTGGGGGAGCCTTCACCAAACAAATTTCACTCATTAAGTTCCTTCCGTCTGGTCTTTCGATGCCACTGAGGGAAAGCAGCTGTGTTAGGCATTTGCCTTGGTGCTGTGATAAAACTCCTGGCAAAAATAAGGAAGAACCAACGTACTGTGGGTCACAGGCTGAGGCCCCAGGGGCTCATCACGGCAGGGAAAGAAGGGAAGTGTGGAGTGACTGCTTGCACTGCATCTGAGGCTGGACGCAGAGAGAGATACAGGTGCGTAGTTTGCCTTCTCCCTTTTTTCTTTTTACTCAGTCTGGGCTCCCAACCCATGGGATGAGGCCAGCCATATTCAGGGTGGCTCTCATCGCTCAGTTCAACCTCTCTGGAAACGCCGTCAATGCCTAAAGCGTGTCTGCTAGGTGACTATAAACCCAGTCACGTTGACCACAAAGACCGACCATCACAGTAGTTAATATCAAACATGTAAGTACATGTATATTTAAGTGTACATGATTATAACATAGAAACTTATCTGTGTCATATACATAACATATGTGTGTGTGTGTCTGTGTGTGTGTGTGTGATCACAAGGGTGTAGTTAGAATTAGACTCTCTAGGTCTGCATCCTTCAAGAAAATGGCATTAGTGGGTGTGCTGGTTAATATTGATTGTCAAATTGACAGGACCCAGAATCACTGAAGAGGTAAGCCTCTGGGCATGTCTGTGATGGGCTGTATAAATTAGGTCAATGAGGTGAGAAGGCTCGCCCTACACATGGACAGTAGTATTCCATGATTTTGGGACCTGGTTTTAAAAGCATGAGAAAGTGAGCTGAGTTATCATTCATCTCTCTCTGCCTCCTGACTGCAGGTGCAATGTGACCAGCCACCCCACGGAGCCACAGTAAACCCTCCCTTCCTCAGGCTGCCCGTCACATTGTCAAGAGTGACAGAAGTGATGAGTGCATTGGGGTGAGTGTGACAGGCAGAAGATCCCGAGCCCAGGGTGTGTGAGGCCCTGGGTCAGATCCCCGGCACCAGCCTCAAGCACCAAACACACACATTAGGGAGAAGGAGGCAGGGCCTATTCCCAAGGCCATTTGTATCCAGGAAGCATAGCCAATTGCATTTGAATTTTCATGGCAGTTTTTAAACAGAGAGACGCTGAGAATAATCAATGCTCACCTGTGAGTGAAAAAGACTTCAGGAGACTGTTATTCTCCTTGTACAGCGTGTGTCCTGGGAACTCCTGGGTGGTTCATAATCACAGTGTCTGTGCTTTCTTTCTTCCATCATTTACTCACTTGTGAAGTCAGTTCTTAATCTCCTGTTTGTCTGAAGGAATTTTTTCCCCTCCTGTGCAAACGTTTGAGCCTGGTTGGTTGAGTTTGGTGATACTGTTTGTTTGAAGCTTGGTGACTAAGATGTCAAGCAACTGGGGCTTGTACTGCGTAGAGAGTGGGAGAGGTTAATAAGTGTGGCGCTGCCGGCTGTGATCCCCAGCACGTCCAGTGCCACTGCCACACTTGGCGCTGTTGGTTAGAAAGCCTCTCACTCACCAGTTTTCATGTGCTTCCCGTTTTTATGAGCCATGGCTTACGTCTGCTGCTCTCTGTGTTTAATCCAATTCCAAAGCCAAATTGCTTTTGGTTTATTTGAGTCAAATGAAATCTGTTGTTAGTCCATTTCTGCAGGTGTGAAAAATAGATTCATTTTTTTCCTCTCCTTCATGTCAAACAACAAATTCAAGAATTAAAATGACAGGAAAGTAAGCTTTACATCCCCCTTCTCCTAGTAAGCAGATAGCTTACCCCACTCCATCCTCTTCACCCAGGGAAGCCACATGAAGATTCCCTTCCTTCACTGAGTGTGTTTCGGCTTTGATAGATGCTGCTGGGCTCTTAAAATGAAAGGAAGGACAGAGACCTGAGAAGAAAGAAAGAAAGGAGTAGCGGACACCATGAGCTCTTCTACTCAGTTTGCCCTGGGCACACTCAGGTGTGTTTACTTAGCACGTGTGGTTGTCTGACAGATGCCAGGCACCCTTAAACAGATCTCTTGGGTGAGGCTTAGACATGGATAATTTGAAGATCTCACCAGGCATAATACCATGACAAGGACCACCACAAGGCATCGTGGCACACGCCTTTAATCCCAGCACTCAGGAGAGAGAGGCAGGTAGATCTCTGTGAGTCTGACGCCATCCTGGTCTACATAAGTTCCAGGTCAGGCAGAGGTACCAAGTGAGAGCCTGTCTCAAACACACACACACACACACACACACACACACACACACACACACACACACACACACACACACCATGGTTAGAGAAGGACGCCTGGGTCAGACAGGGAGCTAGGTGAATGGATGCTCCTAATGTGCTTGCTTAGAACTTCTTTAGGAGCTGTGTGGTACTGGCAATGGGAGGAGGAGGAGGGAGCCTGGATGCTTCCAGGTTAACTCAGAGAGAAAAGTTCACTCCAGACAAGATGCACCAGAGCTGGAGGGAGAGGCTTTCACAGCCTGCATGAGTTTGGCTCTTATGAGGACAATGATCTTTCCACATAAGACCATTTTTTAAAGAGTATACCAGAGTGTTTTTGTTTTTGTTTTGTTTTAAGAGTAAACTAGAGTATGCCAGTTTAAGAGTATACCAGAGCTCTACTAGAATGGTGAGGATGGATCCCTGGCACAGCCTTTGTAGGTTGTCACCTGTTTTCTCTGCAGCCATGTGTGAGGAGCAGAGGCGCACACTCCTGCTGCTGTACCCTCCCCATGGCGATGCTGCGCCCACCCTCTGACGTGGGGAGCTACACAAATCTCTTCCCCCTTGAGTAGCTTCTGCCAGGCATTTTGTGACAGCGACGAGAGACATAAGTCATTCTAGTGACCTTCTCTGAGGCCCTTTGTCCTTCGCAGGGAGTCTGCATCCCTCCATCCCCAGGTCTGCGTCTCATCTGGTGCCTCCATTTAGATGGCGGAGCTGAGCCAGGGAGAAGCAGCGCTGATTGGTCGGGTGGTGACTCAGGCGGGGGAGGCAGCAGGCAGGGAGTGTCTCCCACAGTCCTTCCTCAGCTTGGGCGCTCACTCCATTGCACAGTGCTCATTTAAAGTTCCAGCTCACCAGGAAAGGAGGTGATCAACAGGAAGTGGTAGGGTTGATGTAGGTTTTGCCCTCAAAACTGAGGAAATGATCATTTCTAACAAACCTCCTTTTTCTAAACAGAATTTAGGTGTGTTTTTTTTTTTTTTTTTTTTTCCCGCCAGAAAACTTTGTTTGAGCTGGTCTTCACTGGAGTGGCTGTGGCTCCGCTCAGAACTGACAGAATGACAGTGCAGAGGGTGATGGAGGAGCGATGTTTGTGTCCCGCGCTGCCATCATGAAAAACCGCAAACTTGGCACCCAAAACAGCAGAGACATGTCCTTTGTCAGTCGTACAGCGCATAAGGCCAAGTGGAGCTGTGGTGGAGCCGCGGTCCCTCTAAGACTCTGGGCAGCAGTCTCCTCCACCTCTCCCTGGCATTGCTGGGGTGTGGCAGAACCATGCCAGTTTCCACCTGTTGCTAATCTGTATGAGTTACTCATCTTGTGTAACCAGACAACTTAAGGGATAAAGGGTTATTTTATCTCGCTGTTTGAGGGGACAGTCCATCGTGGTGGGAAAGGCCGAGTGGTTGGGGAGTGAGGCAGCTGGTCACATCTTGTCTATGGTTAGGAAGCAAGAGGCACACAGGATGCTCAGCTCACTTTCTCCTTTTCAGTCTGGGATTCCAGCCCATGAAACAGTACACCCACTCTTAGGGTGTGTTCCCTCACCCCCAATTAGGCCAGTCTACAGAGTCCCTCATGGACGTGTCCAGAGGCTTGTCTCCCAGCCGACACTGCACCCTGCCAAGCAGCCCCTCTGGCTGCATGAGGAATCTCCACTTCTGGCAGGGATACCAACACCAGCTCAGCAGTCACATCTAGGGCCACACTCATTGTAATTTTCACGTATTTCCAAAAGAGGTCATCACACAGGTACTAGGATTAGGACCGGAGCATACATTCTGTGCGCAATCTCACCTAAGGGGAGAGAGAGGAAGGACAACCGTGGTGCTTGGGTGGACGTTAGCAGTCCCGGCTGAGGTGGCAGAGGGAGGACAGGGTGAGCAGGAGGACCCTCTGCTGAAGCGGATGCTGAACATGAAGACACTAACTACTGCAAGTCCCCCTCTAGCCGCTCCACTCCAGTTTCCATTCGGATGCCTTTGCAAGTGTGGGGTTACGTCACCGACAGTATTCAAGAGTGGATAGAATTTAAATATCTTGATTTGTGGGGCAAAGTACACAGTCTGTCTTTCAAGTTTTGGCTAGACAGGTACCTGGAACTGGGTCAAGGTAAGCAGGGACAATGGAGAGAGAGGCGATGACTTCATCTGGAGTTCTGACTTCTGGCACACACTTCAAAGGCAGACAGCCTGTGGCCCCTTGGGGACCCTGCTGTCTGATCCCCACTGTCCTGAGAGTCACTGGCACCGAGAGGCACAGGGAGTGTGCTGCCTGGAGTCATATACTTCCTCCTGCTCCAAAGGTGAGAAGCTTGGCATTAGATAGAAATAGAAAGCAGACAATCGAGGTCTGGACTCCCCACACCATACTAGCTGGACTTAGAAAGTAACTACAAAGCACAAGGGTTACTTTTGCTGCCCGAGTTAAAAATACAAAACTATAGCAGTGCGTTTCCCAACAGCACGCTCATGACACACTAGGGTTTTTGAGTTTTCTCCGGAGGAGCTGGAGGGCTCTCTAGTGCTCAAAGAGCTAAATTAAGACTGATTTGCTTTAGTCACAGAAATAAAGAGAAGCAATAGGAATTGGGAGGTGGGACTGGGAAGGACCCAAGTTTTCTACTGGTCAGACCCAGGTTCAACCCACCACCTCTAGCTGCAGATACCAATTTCACCATTTCGTGTAAATGGACATGTACGTAGCTTAAGCCATTGTTGTGTGTGTGTGTGTGTGTGTGTGTGGAGGGGCGTTGCACCTGAGAATGCCTGATACTTTCTGGGGCCCTTGGCAGGTATACCTCCCTACAGTGCCTTTGTGAAAGGGGAAACCAGTAAGAGAAGTAGGTGGTGGGTTGAACTGTATTCCCTCTGAAGAATATAAAGCTGACTCACTCATACTTTAGAGTGTGGCTTTATTTGTAAGTATTGTCTTTACAGAGGTAATCCAGTTGCAGTAAAGTCACTGGAGCAGGGCCTGGTCTAATGCAATAGGATCTGTGTCCTTGTAATAAAGGAAGATTGGGACACAGAGACAAACATGCACACATGAAAGAACACACAGAGAAGATGAGTGATCTTAAATGTCAACTTGATTGAACTAACAAGGATCCGAAAGCCAGATATGGAGGCCTACACTTGAGATCCCAGTATTCAGGAGGCTCTGGGGCAGGAGGACTGTTGAAGGGTCAAGGCCACCCTGAACTGCCCAGTGAGTACCAGGCCAGCATGAGCAACAGAATAAGACCTTATCACAAATAAATACTAAAGCCAATGAGAGACGGAGAGGGAGCGAAACACCCAGCCATGTCTCTGGTGTGTCTGTGAGGGCATCTTCAGTGCTGTTCAGATCCTGGGGGCTCTGAGCCAGTGGATGGCTTAATGCATTGATGAATTCAAGATGATTGTGTGAGTGGAAGTGAAAGGTAGGAGATGGGGCCTCGTTGTTGGTAGCATCTAGGAACGTGTTCCTGGAGGCCATGGTTCACCATGACCTCTTCCCATACTTACAGCTTTTGCTTCCTGTCTGCCACGAAGCTCTTTAGACACATACTGCATCTTCCATGATGTTCCACGGCTCAGAGGAGTGGAAATAGCCAAGTGATCCTGGATTGAACTCTATGGGTTACTCACAAGTAAAAGATTCTTCACTTAAGTTACTTCTGTCAGGGACTTGGTCAGAAGGATGAGAGAAAGAACTAAGAGAGGGGCCACCCACAAACCACAGAAAGTGGCTCAGAGCAGGCCCCTCCGCAGGGTCTCCAGGGAATCAACACTTCCAGCTCCAACATTTGGATTTCAGAGGAGTGAGCAATGCATTTGTTAACGTCCACTCTGGACTGCGGGACATTGGCCCGGGACACCTACACACAAGGACAGAGGCATCACTACCGTGGAACGCCTGCAGCCACGGTGGGTGTGTCTGGGTGGGAGGTCCAGCACCCACTCGGACATGCCACACCAGCTAGGGCTATTTTGCTGAAGGGCCTCCATAGGCTCAGAGAAGGTTTCCCTCGTCCGTGGAGTCACGGCACTTGCTTTGGAGGAGCCTCCATAGCAGGCATTTTGTTGCTTCGTTTGCTTTCCTGACTCACTAGGTCTACAGGGAGGCTAGAGCAGCCTGAGCACAGGGGAAACCTTGGGTGCAGCAGGGCTGCCGAAGATCCCTGCAGCACACATCGAGTGTGCCTGTGACATCACACGCTGTAGTGCTGTGTAATTACGGGCGATATTATTAAACTGTGAAGTGGGAATCTGGAAAACATGCAATTTGGTGAGTGCCGTCTCCTGCCTGGCGTAATTACACGCCTCTCCTTCAGTTGACATTGTGTTTACCGGTGGTACTGCCTGGGCTCCTGCCATGGTGGCTAATATGGGGATATCAGGGAATATGCCGAGATGATGGGTCACAGGCAAACATCATACTGGTCTTATTTGGGACCCAACCTTTCATTCACACCACGATGTGATACATTTGTCCAAACTTAATGAATGCTGACTAGAAAGTGAAAGATTCCGAATTTCCTCTCTTTTCAGTACTCTTTGTCTCAGATGTCCTACTTTGATCTCTAAGATGTAATTATTTAAATATGAGAGTTAGTCACCATTAGCCTGGATGAACGAATCTGGAATTTGAAAACATTTTGAGAATTTATGAACCTGAATCTTTGGAGCTTATCGCCAGGTGTCTCTCTTCAACACTGGACATTGGGGGAGAGCACATGGTAGGGCTGGCCTGGGCATTGCAGGGTGTTCGTTCATCAGATCCCTGCCCCCTAACAGTGAGATGAGGACAGTGTCTCCAGACATTGTCACATGACTCCTCAGAGGCAAGAATGCCGCCATTGGGTATTCAGGGTTATGGAAATGGGTAAGGCTTATGTGAATATGAACAAGTCAAGGGTAGATTTGAAGTGTCATCCTAGCTGCTGTTCCACAACCCTTGGGTCCCACAGTCCCAGAACACTATGCGATTTTCCCATGGACTCTTGCTGAAGCCAGGGATCTTGTTCTTCAGATTTTGTGGGGGTGGAATTAGTCATACGGTCATTGATAAATCAGTAAATTCTGGCTTCTTCTATCTGGAGACACTGGTTTTCACATGATGTCACTGGCTCCAGGAGCTGGGAGAAATGGACCACATCCTCTTCACACCCGTCTTCCCCCTCACACCCTCCCCACCATGGTGGCACTGATGAACATTTTGTTTGTGGTTTCTTTGGCTACAGAACTACATACATCACAGGACTTTGAGTACTACAGAAGACAACCCTCAATCCATGCCATGCCCTTGGCCAGCCTCAGGCATTAGCTCAGTCACCAAGCATTTATCCAAGCAGAATCATAGCAAGCCCCTTGGTGCCACTGGGCCTCAATAGGGCCTCAGCTTCACTTGCTCTTGGGTGACATGGAAAATCTCGTTTCATAGGCCATGCAACCAGCGACACATTGTCAGTCTCCTGCCAGCTTTGCTGTGGACGACACGTCTGCCACGTGGATTATGATGACATGGTTGCTAGGTTACTTTTCAGAGTCTGGAAGGCCATTTCTGAGAACACTGACCCTTTACATTGGCCCCCAAAGTCTGATGGCTGACAGGAATGAGAAGAGAAGGCGTGACGTCTCTACCTTCATGCTGTCTCGCCCCCTTCCGGACTGACGCGTTGTCTTGACTCAGTTCAAGGCAAAGGCATTGGTCACTTGAGAAACATTTTGCTCACACTATTATCCGGGCTGAATTGACTTAGATTCACCTAGTCTTTCCTCTTCCTTTCAAAGAGACTTGTCCACTGAAAGACTAGAAACAGCACACCATAAAGGGAGTGAAAAGAGCTGGCACTTGAATTCTTGGGAGAGCTTCACCTGTTCCCACACAAATATTCCTTCCCTTCATTAGCCCACACGTCTCCTTTAATATTCCTATCCAGTATCTGTGACCCCTCAGCTCCAAGCCCTGGGTGTGAAACACCTGAATCTTGTATGAGACAATTTTCCTTTATTCTCCTCTGCTTTTGTCCCCTGGATGAATACAGCCTTTCCTTCTCACTGAAACAGCAGGTAGAACATCCATGTGAGGTAAGTATGCTGTGTGATATCGACCCATGGTTCCAGAGGGCTGAGAAGAGGAATGTGCCTCAAGTAGACGGAGAGACAGTGATGGAGGCCACTTTCTTTGGTGAGATGAGTTTCTGGACTTGGGTTTGAAGACATCAGGAAAGTTGTTCAGAGCGTATATCAACTAGTTTGTCATCAGAATCAGGCCCATAGCTCTAGAGGTGGCAGTGTGGAGGGGAGCGCAGGTACAGGGGGATACATGTGGGTGGGGTCCAGGTGTAAGCTGACCAGGTCTTCCTAGGCTTGGCTTTTCACCCAGTACTTGTGCTCTTGCCTTTGAAAGCACTGTGATATTACTGGGGTAGGGGCTGGATGAATATCCTTTGTGTCTATTTTCTCTGCTTAGCTTTCCTACAAAGCAGGAGTGAGGAGAGGGAGCCAAGGACAATCCAACTCCTTCCATTCGTCAAAGTCAGAGCCCAGCCATGCTCTGTCTCCCAGATCCCAGGAACCCTGGGAACCTTGTTTGCGGACCTCCTTTTATTGGGATTGTATCACTAACAATCCATGGAGTCTATTTAATGAGCAAAGGAATTTATTTGGGGGTTAACTCACAAGACGAAATAAAGGAATTTATTTCACAGGATCTTGGAAGGGTGAGAAATGGTCCAATGCTGTTCTCTGGTGGGCTTTGCCCTGGTCCATTCCAGCATTCAAAACCACAAGGTAGTGAAGAGAGAGCGTGTAGGTGCATCCCAGGTCTTCAGGGTCCCCCAGCGGCTGCGCCTGAGGGGCATGTACCTTAAGGTCATAGGCAGGTGTAACAATTGCCTTCTACCTCACTAGGGGCAGTGTTTCAGGGCATGGCTCAAACAGCCACCCACTGTATCTCCCCTTTTTGTCTAAATAAGAAAGTTCTAACCTAATGCAAAGCTATATATATAATAGGAATGATTATTAAGTATTGTTCAGGAGAAATAATGGGTAATAACCTAAGCAAAATGGAACTACAACCAACAAGAACAACATCAAACAAGAGACACATGCTAAAATCCAGAGATGTCCAGAACATAGGTAAATGGTATGTCAGAGAGATTATTCCAAAAGCTGTCCTATCCTGAAGAATCTGAATCTAGTACTAAGTATGTTCTAGCTAAGAGACAAGAAGATTGTAAGTGTAACTATTAGTCTTCAACCTCATCAAAGATCTGGGAAGGAATATCATACTACCTGAGAAAATGGTAGAAGCATGCAGCAACATTTGGAAATCTTTCGAGAATAGACAGAGAGATCTGGCAGCCTGGACAGTCACCTAAAGTTTCTCAGCACTATTGGAGCACCCAATTTGGCTACAGGCCTAGAGTATCTCACAGACCATTTTCAGAAGCAGGAATTTTGAAAGACCATCTTACCCTGTCTTGGCAGAGTTCAGTAGTCACTTTTTCTTCTGTCCTGCTCATCCTGAAAGGACAGCATTCATACTGTCAGCAGTTGAGGTAAGGGGAGTTCTTTGCCCAACAGGCCATTATGTGCCAAAAAGAAGACAAACTTTCAAATGGAATGTCTTAAAAGCCCAACATTCTCTCAGGATCAGATCAGTGCTGCTAGGAGCAATTGTATCTCATGTCAACAGAATTCTAAGTTATTTAAATGTCATATTCTCTAGGTCTATGAAGTGTTTGAAGATTACCTGTCCATCTAACCTATGTATCTGTAAATTTGGACAACCTAACTAAATAATGACAAGCATGGGTGACTATATATCTGTAAGTCTTATCTACCTAAATAACCTAAAGACTAAGGCTTCATATAAACAAGGTAAACAGTCTGTAATCAAATGTCCAGTAAAAGGACAATGGCCTCAAAATTGTGACAATACATAAAATATCTTAAAGAGGTAGAAATGTATAATGCAATGTGCAATATGACAACAATATGTATCAATATACAGAATATCCTAAACAGAGATGAACATACATAACAGTATGACAAATATAATTTTACATTTGTATCAATATACAAGATATTTCAAATAGGAGTAGAAATATATGTAGAATACAAGAAATATAGTTTTGTATTTGTATCAATATATAAATTATCTTAAACAGATATATCTTAAAAATATATCTTAAAATATAAAAATAGTGTACATTTGCATCAATATATAGGAATCCAGTTACAGAGGGATATGATGTATCCCCTGACCCCTTCCTGTTGACCTACAATCCTCTGCTCAGACTCCTATTCCTTAGCACAGGTCTGATTAGAAGGTCTTTTCTCCCCTGGCTTCCAGAGTGGGCATTAGCATCACATCAAGGTTGAAGAATATTGTTTGTGCTTTTACAGAGGCCTGTTTAATTGCTAAGGGAAGACATTTGCTATCTTACTAAAATGCTGCTAAGTCTGTAAAAGGCTTGTTCACCTGAGGAATCCTCCTTTGTCTTTGGACAGCACCTTTCCTCCAAAGTTTAGAGTGAGATTGACTGCCCTTGGTAGCCTGTGTCCTCAGTCCGCTAACCTCATGCAGCCTTTCTTAGGCTGCAGCTCCAACAAGCACGGTCAGCCATATATGCCAAGCCTTATAAATGCTGAGCCACAAAGGGCTGGTTTTTTTTTTTTTTTTTTTTTTGATCTATCAGAAGATGCAGCTTCCCAGATGCAGTGGTTTCCTTGGTTACCTCATGGATGTGCCTAGCTGCAAAAGGGTAGATCCCTATAACACCTTCTTGCCTCCTGCTAATGTTTGCCTAGCTATCTGCTCTAACCCCATCACCCCAGATCCATAGCTCAGAACCTCGGAGGGGAAGCCTCGCTTTGAAACAGCCTTTGTGGAAGCAGCAGCATCAAGTGAGCTGAATCAAGTGACCGTAAGTCCAAAGAGAAAGTCTTCCTAGGAGACCGATGATGATGATGGAAAGACACAGGAGAAAAGACCACGTGAAAACAGGTAGGAACTGGAATGACGGAGCAAGAAGCCAAGGGATGCTTGGTACCCCCAGGAGCTGGAAGAGGTAGTAAAGGTCATCTCCTAGAACTCCCAGAAAGAGCACAGTCCTGTGGGTATCCTCCCAGTCCCGTGGATGTCCTCCCAGTCCCGTGGATGTCCTTCCAGTCCTGTTGATGTTTTG